CCTCCCATTATTGGGAGTGGGTTGAGGACATGCTTGGAAGGTATAAAGACATACTCACACGCGCTGGTATATTTGAAGCCGTCTACGTGTCGAGATACTCCTACGATCGCTGCGAAAATATCTTGCGAGCCTTCTTCAAATATTGGTGTCCCTCGACGAACACACTCCATATGCCCGTTGGGGAGTTGTCCATCACGCTTTGGGACCTCTATCGACTTGGTGGCCTTTCGATCGATGGCACGTTTTTCGATGAAGTTGTTCCTTCTGCGCGGGAGCTCCTCACTCGTGACAAAGAAGGGAAGCCGCTTCTCCCCGAGAGTTGCAGACACCTCTTTTCTGCCTACTACCACCTTTGGACGAACGACCAAGGGGTATGGGTGAAAGACTGGATTCGCTTCTGGTTCAAAGGAGAGACTAGGTATAGGGCTCCTCCGAGTAGAGCGAATAGAAGGAAGACCACATCTAAACCAAAAATGACCTACAACCCTTCTGGAAGCGTGGAGCCTTACGACCTTGCTGATACGAAGGACTTCAACGTCCCTTTCGACACACTGGACATTCCAGGGTATCTAAGAAAGGAAACCTACATTGCGGCATTCATAGCGTGCTGGATTTGCAAGTTTCTTTTGCCAAGCAAAAAGGTCGATCGTATTCGCCCAAGTGTCTTTAAGGTTGCATGCTTAATAGTTACAGGGAAAAGATTTTGTCTTGCAATTCCCGTCCTTACGAGCATATATCATGGGTTGAGGGAGATCGTCCACGCCCCTAACCTTGGAGAATGCGGGGTAGCTTTTCCAATCCATTACGTCTATGCTTGGATTGGCCAATACTTTGACGTATATCACGAGAATAATCAAGTGAGTAGCCACCACGCGCGCATGACGAGATTTAGCGGTGAGAAAATGGCAATATTTTATGGCCAATTGGAAGCGGAGGAAATTTTCAAAGAAGTGAATCCTTTGATGCTCCCTAAATTGTGCTGGACTGAGAATGAAGAAAAGGCGTTGATCGATGACGGATCCTTATCATCAAGACTCACGAGATATTTCATTAGTCAACGCTCTTGCCATTTAACTCTACGTAAGGACAATACTTTCATTATTGAAAAATATAATCCTTGCAGGTTTAGCAGACAATTCGACTTTTGTCAAGACATTCCCAACAACTTGAAAGAAATCACTCACACTTACACTTTGGGCGAGGCTATTCAACTGTGGGATTCTTCAGTTCGCACGCAGACGCGATCTCGGATGACTATACCCGCGCACAGGAAGCATCCATTGATCACAAAAGACTATGACGCCTGGTGGTCGACTCGGTCAAATAGTGTCTCTTCAACTTCCTCTAAATTCACCGTTAAAATCCCTCAGCAATCATCGAAGAAGGGTAAGATTACCTCTGCTAACGAGTTAGGGCATCACAACGGAGCTATAGAGATTGTAACGGGTCTTGCCTCATCCACCTTGCGAAAGAACAAAATTACTAGCAGTCCCTCGAAAAATATTGCCACAAAAAATAAGTCTTCTAAGGACTTTCGGCAGGCCATCAAAGAGGCGCAACCAGGGGTTCCAGCGAAGAAGACGCCGCCCAAAGCTTCGAAATCCTTATCGGCAACTCGCACTGAAGAAGATATCGAAATTGAAACGGTGGACAATCGTGATTCTATCGAGGCTATAGAAAAGGAAGGAACTCAAGCTCAGGACATCGGATCTATCCAAAGAGGGGTCCATTTATTGGCAAGCGGTAGTAGTAGTCAAGATCGTCACTGGAACCGATCGAAAAAGAGGACATCTTCTGATTTGGAGGAGATTTCCTTTACACCACCATCGGTTGAAGTGTCGCCATTTAAGGTAATCATCTGTCCATCTTTTTCCCCTTTTTGTAAAATTTTTTTTTTTTAACTTTTTCCTTTTCAGCCCCCGTTTCTTGAATTTCGTCAAGAAGGTGTTGGTAACAATCCATCACCCGAACTCGAAACTGATGATATAATCTCAAACAACAAGAGTGACGAAGTAGCTATCAGTACTCCAAGACAATTTGCCCCCCAGTGGAGGTACTTCGTCAATGCATAAGAAGGAGCTGACTAGTTCACACGAAATTCGAAAAAGGCCTAAGGTGGCATTGGTTTCAGAATTTCACGGTCAAAAGTTGATCCAGGCACATCGAAGAAAGTACTTGCAAAGTTTGTGGATGGATTTCCGCGGACAGATTCTTGACACTCCAATTGAGCAGATCTCTTCTTTAAAAGAGTGTGCAGAGGAAATCATTGTAGAAATCACAAGAACGGATCCCGCCAATGGTCTCCCTTTAAAAGACCACTTGATGGAATTGTTTGCCAAGGCAGAGGCTTATGATGTTCTAGCATCTTCATCGTGGGAAAGGATGAACAAAGAAACATATGCAGAACTCCTTTCCAAAGCGACCGTCCAACTCGAGAAAGTTAAGGCAAAGAGAGAAGAACTGGCTCGTCATTTGCAAAGTCTTGAAGAAGAGTTGCAATCCATTGAAGCCAGGAAGAAGGTTCTGCAACAGGAACTCATCAGTTTAGAGAAGCAAAGCCTGGAAACCACCTTAACTATTGATCAAAAGCATGAGACCTTCAAAGAGATCCAGGTCGAAATAACCCAAGCACATGATGAGCTATCTTCCATTGAACAGACCAGCATCTTGACTGATGACGCTGTGAAGGAACTTGAGGACATGAAGTCTGCACTTGAATCATATAAAGTAGCTGTAGTGGAATACAAATTTGATATTTAGGCTTTCCACCATGTTCTTCTTTTTCCTGAATGTCTTTGTCATTCATTTTTTTTTCTTTTCCATGTAATGAGTTTTTTTTTTTCAATAATAAAACGCTTTTCATTTCTTATCTCTTGTTTTTTTTAAGAGAAAAGAACTCAAATGAAGCATTTTATTTATTTATTTTTATTTTATATATTTTTATTTTTTTTGGAAAGAGAAAATTCCTTTTCTTCTCTTTTTTGTTTTTGGACAAGGATTTGATTTGGAGTGGTGTAACTGAACTTAGAAGTTGCCCTCCAAGCTGCCTACGTATCCCAACAAGGGAATCAAGTCACACGTAGTTCCTGCCGTTCACATTTTAATCTCATGCGGGCCAGGAGTATCATTTGTTTACCACCTTAGACTTGGTGGAGTGTTTCAGCAGTTTAACCACATACTACACTATTGGTGGTTGCCATCCACAGTTTTAGCTCATGCGGGCCAGGAGCCTCTCGTGGTTTCGATTACGCATAGTACCTTTTTAGGTACTTGCCATTGATGGGGCCAACGCTTAATCCATCTTCAGCAACCAACTTGTATGAGCCATTTGTATATACTTCTCGAACGACATATGGACCATCCCACTTAGCAGTAAACTTTCTTTGTCCTTCATGAGTGAGAATGATCGGTCTCCGAACAGCGAGTACTAAATCTCCAATTTGAAAAGAGCGAGGTCGGACGTGCTTATTGAATGCTTTTGAAAGGCGATCCTGATAGCACTCAATCCGTTACTGAGTTTCCAATCTCTTTTCGTCGAGTGCTTCTAACTCTTCAAGGCGAAGACGAACATTATCTTCTTCACTGAGCCCTTCTTAAATCGCAATTCTTAGCGAAGGTATTTGACACTCAAGTGGAAGAACAGCTTCAACACCATAAACAAGCGCGTATGGGGTCGCTTGCGTGGGAGTTCGAAAAGTAGTTCGGTATGTCCAAAATGCTTCTCCAATTCGAAGATGCCAATCCCTTCTCGATTTATTCACGATCTTCTTCAACAGATTACATAAGGTCTTGTTGAATGCTTCAGCGAGTCCATTTGCGGCAGCGTAGTACATGGACGAATTGTATTGTTTGAAATGAAACTTTTCGCAAAGTTTGTTCATTGCTACATTGCAAAAAGGTTTACCATTATCGGTGATGATATAACGTGGGACTCCATACCGATAAATGATATGCAAGCGAATGAAATCCACTACATTTTCCTTTTTAACCTCTCTTAGAGGAACCGCTTCAGCCCACTTTGAAAAGTAATCTGTCGCCGCCAAAATGAAAGTGTGTCCGCCGGAAGACTATGGAAGTGGTCCAACTATATCCAAACTCCAAGCATCGAACGGCCAAGAAGCCACAGTTGGGTGCAATGGTTCAGGGGGCTGATGGATGAAATTGCCATGAAATTGACATGCTTGACATTTTCTAGCAAAGTCAATGCAATCCTTTACCATTGTTGGCCAATAGTATCCCATTCTTTTAATACGAAAGTGTAATTTCGGGCCAGACTGGTGACCACCGCATATCCCAGAGTGAGCCTCCTCCATTGCTTGCATGGCCTCATCTTCTCCAAGACATCGTAGAAACACCCCATCGAATGACCTTCGGTAAAGCGTCCTTTTGTAGTAAATGAAACGTGGTGCTCGACAACGTATATCAACCCTTTTTTTAGGATCTTCTGGTAACTTTCCATGATTAAGATAATCAATGATGAGGTGACGCCACTCTTCCTTTTCGATCTCATGGACAAAAATATGATAAGTATTTTCTTCTTCACTATCATTACCTTCATCAAACATCAGAGGTATGACCCAATTTTGGCATATTGAAATCTGATTTCGATGAGAAGGTAGAGTGATCATGGACGCCACCCTTGCCAAAGAATCAGCTTGTTGGTTAAAATTTCTAGGGATATGTTCTATAGTGACATTACCTAAATATCCCATGAGTTGCCTTGCATACTTGTAATATGGGATCAATTCAGGTTTCTTGACATCATAAACACCAAGGAGTTGATTTACCACCAATTTTGAATCACCGTAGACTCTAAGATGCAACTGCTTCATGTCTACAGCCGTTTCAAGACCGAGGATCAACGCCTGATATTCAGCCACATTGTTGGAACACCGGCGTGTTAAAGTGAAAGAGTATGGCAATATATCTGCTTCAGGAGTATAAAAGACAACTCCCGCACCAGCTCCATCACGGTGAGCAGCTCCATCGAAATACATCGATCATGGAGATTCGACCATAAACACTTCTTCATCGGGAAGCTCATCAGTCAACTCCCACTCGGCAGGTATGGGATGATCGGCTAAAAAGTCTACCAATATTTGTCCTTTGACAGCCTTCGCAGGTACGTAAATAATTTCGAATTGTTGAAACTGGAGGTACCATCTCGCGAGCCGATCAGACAGTACAGGTTTTGCCATCACATATTTAATGAGATTAGACTTAGATATGAGTCGATGAGTCGAATAGTGTGTGCTTGAAAATAATGTTTTAATTTCTGAATGACAAATATAAGTGCCAAACACAACTTTTCGATGGGAGAGTAATTCAACTCATTGGGTGTCATCATCCGACTCAAGTAATGCAGCGCATTCTCCTTACCTTCATCATTTTCTTGAGCAAGTAAGGCCCCAACCGACCGTTCTTGAGCGAAAATATAAAGAATCAATGGTTTTTCTGGGATGGGTGCAGCCAACACTGGGGGATTCATGAGATACATTTTGAGGCTTGTAAAAGCATTCCTACACGACTCATCCCACTCAAAGGGTACCCCTTTCTTCATCAGTCTACTAAAGGGTTGGCATCGCCAGGCCAAATTAGAGATAAACCTCCGGATATATGCCAACTTCCCTTGAAGGCTCTTCAATTCATGAATATTTCGCGGTTCAGGCATGTTCACAATGGCATCAATTTTAGATCGATCGACTTCTATTCCCCGTTGATGAACGATGAAACCAAGAAATTTGCCAGAAGTGACTCCGAATGCGCACTTCAAAGGATTCATCTTTAATTGGTATCTCCGAAGGCGTTGGAAAACTCTTCGAAGGTTTTGAATATGATCCTCTCGCTTCTTTGATTTCACCACAAGGTCATCAACGTAGCACTCCACATTTCTATGGAGCATATCATCAAATATTCTTTGCATTGCCCTTTGATATGTCGCTCCAATATTTTTCAAGCCAAACGGCATTACTTTATAGCAATAAATTCCCTTGGGGGTGCGGAAAGCAGTTAGCTCCTCATCCTCAGGCGCCATACGTATTTGATTGTAGCCAGACGATCCATCGAGAAAAGATAGTGCTTCATGCCCGGTTGTAGCATCTACCATCAATTCTGTGATGGGAAGAGGAAAATCATCTTTGGGGCAAGTCTCGTTTAAGTCTCGAAAGTCAACACAAACTAGAATTTGCCCATTCTTCTTCCTTACAGGGACGATGCTTGAAATCCATGTTGGATATTTTACTTCTCGTATGAATCCGGTTTCAATCAATCGATTTATCTCATTTTCTATCAGAGGAATCAATTCGGGCCGAAAGCGCCTTTGCGTTTGCTTGACAGGTTTTGTTCCTCGCTTGACGGATAAATTATGAACGGCGACCCTTGGATCCAAACCAGGCATTTCTGAGTAATTCCAGGCAAAGACGTCCTTGAACTCGAGCAGCAAATCAACATACTCTTTTTCTTCTTCAGGAGTCATACAAGAGCTTATGTAAATTGGGCGAGTATCGTCGCTTGTGCCAAGGTTAATCTCTTTTAGCTCATCGACCGTATTTTTTACCCCTTGTTCAAGTTCAGCGGGAGCATCATCTGCATCTTCTTCTTCTTCTTCAAGATCACTGATCGTAATATGGTGACAGGAAGCCGTACTTTCTTGGCCATGTTCTTCAAAAATGGTTTCAATTCTTACATTGAATAAGTCTCCGTAGTGCATGAAGAAATTGGAGACTCGCTTTCTTGGTCTGTTCTTCTTTATTGGAGTAAGACTTTCTTCCCTGACAACTTGGTACTCTTGTTTCTTACTGCCTAATCTCTCATAGACGGGCGACTTCAGATTTTTCGGCTGCGGGCCAAGTCTGTCAAACACAGAAGTACGTTTTGACTTATTTCCCGATCGGTCGAACACAGATCTCTTTCGGCTTGTGACCTCCAGTTCTTCGTTCACATAGTTACAACTCGCTCTTTTGATCATTATACGAACAGGAGAGGGCGGTTGATAACCAAGACCCATCGATGAACTTTCAACATTATAGCCCCTTTCTTTCAACATTTTCTGCGTAGGTGTCAATCCGTGAATCCTCTCGCCAGTCACTTCAGGAGGGAGTTTGCCCAATGTATTCTTCTCATTTGGGTTATAACCCGCCTTAGCAAGAAATCTATAGGCGTTTGGATCAAAACCTTCTTGAGTCCGATTAGTTGGTAGCGAGTAATGTTCCACTGTCGGTTCTTCTTTGGGACGAACAAACCCTTGCAAGCTCACCTTCTCAATTTTAACAGGCTCTATCTTGGTGAGCGAAACATTTAATGTGTCATTTCTGATAAAAGAAGACCGACCTTCTTCTCTCTTTGATCTTGGAGTATACCGCAAAATGGGTACTTTGGAATCTTGACTTTCTTCCCTTACCGATTCCTTTCTTTTTGCTTCTTTGTGAAGATAAAATTTGACATCGGCAAAGTGAGTTTCGGCTTCCGTGAAAGGTTTGTCATCGGCAGTAACTTTCTTAACAATACCGTCTCGACAATATTTGAAACATTGATGCAGAGTAGATGGTATAATTTCATTCTCGTGAATCCAGGGCCTTCCCAAAAGCATGTTATAAGAGGTTTTGGCTTCAATGATATGAAATAACGCACTTGAAGACAGCTTACCAATGAGCAATTCAAGCCTTATGAGGCCAATTGCTCTTTGCCCCCCTTGATTAAATCCTTGGATCATGAGGCGGCTCTGGGAGAGTTCATCACTTGAGATTCCTAACTCTTTCATAGCACGTACGGACATGATATTGACAGCAGATCCCCCATCAATGAGTACCCGACTCATCTTTTGTTCTCGAACATATGCACTAACAAACAAAGGTCGATTGTGGGTCTTGAACTCAACAGTTAAATCATCATCATCAAAAATGATGGTCGTTGCACAATCCACCAGTGGTTTATCATCGACTTTGAGTTTTTTCTCAAATTCAGTGCCAATTTGTGTGACTTGAGGATTTTCAGCTTTGACGACATTACAAGAAGTGAAATCATCGGTATCGTCACTTAAATACCCCTTGGGTATAAATTCTCTCAGTGTCACGGGCTGCCGAACCTCTTGAAAGCACTGAAAATCTGAAGGAATTGGTTTTATGGCCACTCTCTTTTGTTTCTTTGTTGCATTTTGTCGTTTCATCGTTACTTTTGGCTTTGTCGAATGGATGCTTTTCGAAAAGATGTACTTCTTTATTCTTGGCTTGCAAGTTCTCTTTCGAGTGACTAAAGTCCATCCTTCATTATCATCTTCGACAACATCTTCAATTGACGATTTTTCAAACTCCGTTTGTACAGACAGAGCACTGCTTGATGTGGGTAGAACTTCTATCGGGCAACACACAGATCCAAACATTATTGTTGTTTGGTTTGCCAATGCTTTATCCTCCTCAAGAAGGATTTTTCCTTGGCGGGCTAATTCCATAATTTTGTCCTTAAAGACAAAGCATTTAGTGAGAGGGTGACCAATCAAGCGGTGATAACAGCAGTAATTCGGATCATTGACTTGACCGGCTTCCTCCGGACGCTTCATGTCGGGAAGTTCAAGGAGTTTCTTCTTGAAAAGATCATCAAACATTCCTTGTAAGTCGGACTCAAGGAAAGGGTACTCCCTTTCTTGCATCTCTTTTAAAGTGGGTCTTCTTACTGATCTATTCTGGGAGGAATCTAATTTCTCAGTGATCTTTCGGCTCACTTTGGTAGCAATTTTCATGGGAGCTGTGTTTATTGCCATGGACTCCTTATTATTGAATCTTGAAGGAGGCTTGCCCCCTTTTCTATTTTCTTGTCTTTCATTGTTTTGCCGAGGTGGCTGTACTCGCGAAATTTGAATAGGAAACCCATCAGTTGCATTGGCCGTGATGCTTAACTCCATGTCATGAGCACGAGTAGCTAATTCTTCAAATGTGTTTGGGCGTATACCCTGCAAAATGTAACTTAGGCTCCAATGCATTTCTCGAATGCACATTTCTATGGCAGAGGGTTCAGACAGCCTGTCCTTGCAGTTGAGACTCAGACTTCTCCACCTATCAATGTAGTTGACCACAGGTTCATCCTTCCATTGACGAGTGTTAGTCAACTCCAGCATACTGACGGTTCTTCTAGTGCTGTAGAAGCGATTCAAGAACTCTTGTTCATATTATTTTTTATTTTAATAGTAAAATTATATATCTATCCCTAATTTTTAATTATTTATTAAGAGAAAATTAAGAAAAAAATATTGGAGGTGTTTGGATAGGTGATATTTGGAATAATATTTCAAATAATATTGGCCTTTTCCTCAAATAATGAGACATAGCTGAAATAATGTTTGGGCCATGAAATCATCCTATTCAAAGAAGTCAATGGTGCTACTTGCTGATGTGGCGTAATGACTATGACGATGGAAAGTAAACCCAGCTGCCACGTAAATGTAAGGTTAAAACTTTGCTGGCTATTCTCTTTTGGACAACCACGGGTGCTTGGCAACTTTGAAGAGCATGTTGAAGCTTGAGATTCCTAACACATACGTTCGGGGCCCACTAGTCCTTCAGGGAGAACTAAGAAGTAACGTGGGAATGTAAAGTCATAAAATCTACCCCTTTTCAAATTTGCTACTTAGGGTGGCTATCTCTTATTAGCCAGGACTTCTGGAATGTACATGCAAATTTTTGCCAATTTAAGTTATGCAAAATTCATCGGAAAGCCACGAAGGACCGCAATTTATTACAAACAAGAGCTTCTTCTATTGTACGAAGACTTGCATAGTACTTGTACTATGCACCACTATTTGATTACATAGAGTTAAAAACAAAACGCATTCAATAGTTTATAGCTACTGTAACCCTCACTATTGAATATTTCTCCACCCTTGGCCCTCACATCGTCTAATACCTCTGTGGGTATTAGATTTTTTTATTCTCATTCACCTACTGTCTCCGCCTTCGTGACGCGGCATGCATTTAATTAGCCATTTCTTCTCTCATTCCCTTCCATTCTTCTATTTCTTGTGGGGACGTCAACGGTTGAATTTGTGGATATGGAGGAGCTCCACATTCGCCTTCGATTAGCATGTCCTCTTGCTCGTACATCATGAAGTGATCATCCGAAGGCTGATTTTCCCTAAGAAAATTGTGTAGTGCACAACATGCAATAACGACATCGATTTGCGTTTGCATATATGAATACGGAACCGGACCCCTTAAATAGACAAACCGTTGCTTCAGGACACCGAAGGATTGTTCAATTACATTACGAAATTGAGAGTGACGAGTATTAAACAGCTCTTTCGGCCCTTGTCCTCGACCACGTCCTTGTCCAACTCTTACGTTACGTCCTCCCTTGAATGGTGCTAAAAAACCGGGCACCATCTTATAAGCCGCGTCGACGAGGTAGGACTTGCCTACATGCAAATTAAGAAGTTTAGGACATCAGGGAACCTTCAATAGTTACCCTTCCTAAAAAATTTCTGTGAGGCATATTATTAAAAATCATTTTTTTATAACCTTGGGGGGGAAATGGAAAATCGGTGTGCATTCTCATTGCATGTTCTAGGACCCGTGCATCGTGTGCGCTGCCTTCCCATCCGGCATAGACATATATGAACCGCATGTGTGCCGTCCAAAGCACCTACACAGTCCTGCATTTATTAAAAAAAAGGATCATAAATTTTAGATACAAAAAATGGTTTATAAAAGGCCATAATACCCCAATAAGTTAGCTGTCCAGACTATTTCAAATATGCATTGAATCATTGTAGCTTCTGATGTGGGGTTGCACCAAGATGAACAAATGGAGTTTTTTGCTTTTGAGTCCTCGTTTTACCTCAATAAATGGGTGGTGAAGAAATGCGGGTGTGAATGATGAATTTATTTGTGGAGTTTGGCTATTTCCAAAAATTTCATTTTCCAGAAAATTTTCTTTTGACTATTTCCAAAAATAAAGAATTAAAAGTTATATCACACGGAAAAAATTCGAATACTTTGAACCAGGGATAATACTTGGTGCTATATCTTATTTTTTATGTACTTCGTCACTTTGTTTTGGTTTAATAATCCTTTGTGCAAATCGACATAACCCCAACAGCACTTCCGCCTACATTTATATGGATGGTTTCTGTTGAATGTTGAAATCTTTCAGCTACTGCACAAGTTCGCGTGCTATGACTTAGCATAACTAAAGTCATGGCTAGCGATTCCTTGATCGAGACATGCTTTGTGTGGATTTTGAGGTACGTAGTTATTGTCTACTAGAACATCACAAAGCCGCATAAAATTGTCTATTGTGATTCGACAATTCTCCAAAATGCGTAGTGGGTGACCTGTTATTAGCTCTTGAACCCACTTCCAACCAGGCATGTCAGAATTGGCGGCAAGGTATTTTTAGTAGAGACCCATCGTAATGTTCCGCTTCCGGTGAAAAAAGTATCATAGCTGCAGCATTGAGAATAACCTTTTCGTCTTCTTCATAGCGTGAGCCAGAAGAGGAGGAAGCGAAATACGGATTGAAGTTTGCCATGCATGAAAAGTAGCTAAAATCCTGTAATCATATAATAAAGTGTTATTACTTAATTAAAATGTAGAGTGAAATCAGTTGCAATTGTCAGGACTGTGGAAATAGAGCATATGAATGCAAGAAAAAATCGAAGGCCGGACAATGGTGTGAGGAAGAGCGTTAAGCCACGACAGGGCTTTATGTTAGCTGTAGTGTGTAGTCCGTTGTTTGCTGGGAAGGGAAAAACTGATAAACCCACTCCTTATGTGGTTTCAGTAACGGTGGGCGTGAATGGGTCCGCACTTCTTTTGAAAACTAAGAAACTTGGATGGCCTTGTAAAGTTTTGCAGGAGATGTTGTGAACTAAAGGTGGTGTGAATCAGCATTGATGTTAGGGTATATATATAGGGTTGAGTTAGTAGGTTGGAAGCTTTAGTCGGAGGCCTGCATAGAAATTTGTCGTCCCCTGTGAAGCTGTACTAGTTTCCCATGTCTAACAGAGAAAGAGATGCCTAATCTATTCATAGTACTTGTGCCTTCCTTGGAATCCCTGTATATTTGCTCTAATTATTGCAGGCATGGTAGTGGGCCTGCTCACTTTCGGTGATTTGAGACAAAGGTTATCGACTATACATGCATGAGGTAAAATCATCCTACTGTTGAATTGCCTAGATGTGTCCGCACCTCTCATCCCACTTTGTTGACAAACACAGGACTATATGTATGTAGTAGGACCCAAGAAATCTGCAGAGCATATTTTGGATTATGTGTTTATGAGGAGATGTTAAGATAGCACGCATGACTTTTCTTCCTGTTGAATCCTCCAGTGATGCTGCATGAAGCAACCTCTTCTTCGTTGATTTCTTTAATGATTCCAACAGCAATTTATTGCAGAACTGTGTTCTAGTTTGCCTCCAGATACATTCATGCACGAAAAGCTAATGTCCAAGATGATTGATAAGGCCTTTTGAAAATAAGGAACAGTTACTTGTTTTGCTTCTTTGGACTCAGCGTGAAACTAATGGAATGTTTTTTATTCGATTTTCACAAACCGCGATTGGAAAATAGATGCAGAGTATTAAATTGTTATTAAAAAGTTACTTTCAGCAATTAAATGAAAGGCTAATTTTAGTTTTTATGTCAAACATTTATGACAAAAAATTAATGAAAGTAATTTGCAATTCCCGTAATCAAAAGATTTCAGTTAATTTGGTAGTTAATGCTTAAGTGAGGAAGCCTAATATTTATAAATTAATTTAATTTCAACTGATCTATACTGATAATTAATTTCGGAAATTGTTTATTTTTTTGGCACAATTTTTTATAAAGGTTGCAAAATATATAATTTATAGTAATTTAAATTGCCCGGGATTTAATTTCCCGGGATTTATTTGCTGGCAATTTATAGTGTGAAATTTGCCTATTCAAGTTTTGGTAGAAGGCATTTGGCGTTAATTTGCAAACTGGAAATTTCCCGGGATTTTTACTACAAACTATTTTTGTTTTTTAGCAAAACATGTCACTTAATTTGCTTTAAATCATTTATTTGATAATGGAAGTTGGGTTCATTACTAGCTACTCAAGTACTAGAAAATAATTACAACTAAGACATTGCAGTCGTACAATTCACATGCGGTGGTACACTAAACCAATTCAAATAATTAAGTAACTCTTAAAATAAAAAGAAACTCCTGTATATAAATGTAAATAACAACTGAAAGCACACTACTTTATTTTTTTACACTGTATCAAATGCCATGTAAAACATACAACTTTCAATACAGAAACTTTGCAATTGTTATTTTTAGGGTCTGTCAAGATTCATAAATTGCACTCGTAGTAGTCACTGATAATGGCATAGAACTCCAATTTCTAAGGATAAGGGGGTTCGCATTTCACAGAATGGAATTGCACATGACAGAACTAAAAGAAATAGCTGGTAATTAAACATTGGGAAATGCAAATGGTTAAATGGAAAAATTTGTAATAGCATAAAAGGGAACAGACAGAAAGACGGTAGCCAAATGAGTTGCTCGGTCACTAGCATGTACTGAGCATATGAATTGCCTACTTTCGAACTACACCATGGAATAAGTAAATGCAGCTGGGTCGTGAGAACTACAAATACATGCAAATAATAAGAATGGTACCTCCAAACAGGGGAAAATTTAGAGGGGCTCAAGTAGCAAGTTATAAACTAGCTATGCAGGAAGTTAACATGGGCAGTTTCCAACTAATTGCAGAGTAAGCTAATGTCCAACATATAGCCATATGCACGTTGAATCCAACTAAGACATTTATATAAAATAGCTCACTCAATAAATAACTGAACCTGTTATTAGCTGCTAACAATAGTTAAGAAAAGGTGGCATCTTGCTTAAACACTATTGAAACTTTATGTATACTTAGTGTACATAACCAGCTCTGCAATTTAAGTCTCGAAATGACACAAATGACCACACAAGGAATCTGGTGGTCAAAGCTTCATAAAATTCCACCACTTGTCACTGCAACATATAATGAAGATGCAAATGGAAACCAACTGTCCGAAATTAGCAATAATAGAGGAATAGCAAAAACACATCAGAGTAACTCCCAGGCGATTGAGGTCCCCTA